AAAATTGGAAAAAAATGTTTTATTAGGGTAGCCCCACTATATGTAAAGTGGGAAGTGATTTTTTTTTACTTTCAACCCTAACGTGTGATATATTTTTGGAAAGGTATTTTAAAATGAATTGGGATTTTACTAAAATCATTTTTGATAATGTCAATAATTTCGAAAATAATCGCTCCAAAAGTAAAACACAATGTGTCCCCCTCCCCTCTAACTTTTGAACCATAAGTTTAGAAAGTATGAAAAAAATCTGGAAAGTAGAACTTTATAAGGACTTTCTAGGAAAATCATTTTGAACTTGGATGGAAACAGTACCCACTACCGGGAGCAGTTGCAGGAGCGCGGAGCGCTGCTGGAGCTGCCTTTAAACTCGTAAGTGGGAACACTTATTGTGACGGATGGGAAACTACGGAACCCTACACTGAGCGTGGCCCGACACTCTCTTGGCCGGTTTTTCTCAATCGATTTGACACGAACTATAGTTGTAATATAGTATATATAATAGAAATGTCTTCATAGACGGTTTCAACTTCGTCATCCGAATGTGCCGATGTCGGGGAATAAACTTGTACGGTCTTCAGAGAGTATCTCTTTGATAACTTAAGTACAAAGTACGCTACCCGTGTCTACATACTGGAGATTTCTACAATGCTGCTAGTGAGGATCCTATGAACGAGGAAACCTACTCCGCCTTAGGATAGGCCGTCTCCCTTCCGAAAGTAGAGCAGATGGCCCGATTGCAGGGTAATTGTGTCCTCCACCTCTCTTCTCATTTCATGGCTTCGTTATATTTTTCCCTACCTACCTTTTCTCGCAGTTTTATTTTCTGCTCAGCAGATTTTTGGACATATTTGTATGTATGTATACAGCAAAAATAAATAAATAAATATACAAAAACGAGTATATTTATGTCGATTGTTGCTAACGTTGAGAACGTCATCATTATACAAAGAGATTTAAATACTACTTAAATGTCTTTGTCATTATATATAAAAGACATCGTGTCTTTTGAAATAACGTCACACATAACACTACTACAATAGGGATGTCATTTTGGTCATTTTGCTAGTAAATTAGAAGTAAAAAAAAGTGTAAAAAGTTCTTTGTAAAAAGAGACTAAAGATGACAACTTGTCAATAAAGCTCTACGGATAAATTACACGCAACATCTTTCGATGCGTTTCTCTTTTTGCCTTATTTGAAAATGATATTAGAAAAACCGAGATAAATATATCAACTCAATGAGGGTCACGACTTATTCTACCACAAGGGCGGCGCACTTAAAATTGAGGTGTAATAATTGACAGTTTTCATAGTGGGATACATAATTTGTCCAAAAAATGTAAAAGTAAATGTTTCTTTCAACAATTTAATAATAATAATAAATTTATTTATTTACCAGAAAAAAAGCCAAAGTATAAAAAGTTCTGCGACTCCCACACTAGGCATGGCCTCTCTCGTGGAGGTCAAACAAAAGATTTTACAATAGATAAAAGTGGATATGGCTATATAAAAGTGACCGCGACGGTTCAGACGCTACAGTTTTATGAAAACAAATTAACCGCGTTTTTGAGATGGTCAGTGTTAAGATGTTGTTATTTAACCATTTTTGTAATTTATGCAACTTGGAGACTGCCGAAAGGTAAGGGTATTGGTTATACATTATATGAATTAAACTAAACATAAATAAACCCAGCCACAGATATTTATAAAAATAGAAAAATTAAAAAAATAAATAATATTGTGCAAAAAATTAACAGCAAACCACTGATGCATCGTTTTGTGTGTTTATTAATATAATACTCTAGAAACTGATAAGCTTTTATATAAAATTAACTTCTAAATTAAATGACACTTAGTAACAAAAAACTTCACCTCAGTGTCAACTAGCACATCTGGTAAGCGGAAGATTATTAACCCTCATTTATGTAGAATTGTGGGTTCCCTCTCTGCATAATTATGTATGTAATTACTCTAAAGACTTTATTCTTGTTTTTTTTTTTAATAAATTCGTGCGCGTTAATGGGATATCTCGACAGACCGAGCTCAAGCAATGTGACAGAAGGGTAATCCCCGTAATAACCGTAATTGCTTCAATAGTCGCTACGGTTATTGCTGTGCAAAATGTACGAAATACGAGCACAGAATTTATGTCATTCCAAGTAGCTCAGCTAGAGTCCAACTGTCACACATACTACCAAAAAAATTGTTCTTTCTTGAAGGTTGCACAAACACAAGCGTAGCGTAGTATAAAATTGATAGTATGGCTGTTCTGTTGCAAATGTATGAGCGCCTGCGTGGTTCAGTGGCACGCTGACGGTAGTACTTTTTACGTTTCGCGCCAAAAAACATCGCGCTCCCGGTTAGAAGGTAACAGCAAAAAACTATTATTTTCGATTTGTTGCATAGCAGAGCAAGTTGTGTAAAACAACACTGTACTTATTTATCACTGATAAACTGCAATTGGCACGATAAGATGCTTTTTGTCGTTAATAATGTCTGTGTAGTTTTTCGGTTGAAGATGAGCTAGGCGAAAGGCGAAGAGCGACTGCGAAAGCTTTTAGAAGATACGTCTACCCCTGAATCATCATCGAATGAAGAACGTGATCCGTACAGTGACGAAGACTGCGAATATGGGTACCCGGATACTGAAGAGTTATTCAGTACCGGTGACGATGAGGAGCAAATTGACCATTTATCAAATCCAAATTCATCTAATGAATATGTCAAGGAGGAAGAACCACAACCAAAGAAAACTTTTCCAACTTTGAAAATTTCTTTACCTTTACCAAACCTACATACAGCTGTTTAGGTCAGTTGTGAAAATGAAGCCCTGCAAACGGAAAACAGTAAAGCTGTACTAGTTTCAACTACCAGCTTAGTACGCATTATTAATGACAGTACGGGAGGACTCTACTACGGTTATGCCCATAACAGCCTTGTTGCTTGGATTAAAGATGTGAAGGCGGTTGTCAACGATTTCAACAGAGTCTTTAATAACGGTTGTTTTGGTTTTCATTGGTTGACAACCGCTTTTGATGGCTTGAAATGGATAAAAACATTTTTTTTGTGCAATAAGTGTTTTCTCTTTAGTAATGAATAAACCACAGAAAGCTCTACAATATATAATAGTCCATTTTTTTTGAGATACAAGTAGCACATTTTCAAGAACCGCAAATACGACTTTGTCATCAAACACTATGAAAAACAAAGTAATTATTTGCTGGCGCTAATGATAATGGTATTTTGACTCGATGTAGAATCTATGCTTGTTACTACGGAACTCTTCATAGGCTTACGAGTCCGACTCGCACTTGGCCACTTGTTTTTTTTCAACTTTTAGTTTTATTTTATTAATGATTTTTTCGTAAAATCGGAGCGAAGCTTTTTTATTTTAGATTTATTACCTATATCTATAACAATCAACCTGAGTAGGTAAAGTGTCCCATATGATTCTTAAATTAAAAAAATAATAATTGAAGTTGATCATTTTGGGTAGGTATTTACTTTTATTTATTTAGAAAATATTAATATCGCAAATAATTATTTTAATAATATAATTTTATCACATAACTAACGTTCTCATTAGCAATGGTGAAAAAAATTTTCAAAAACGGTTAAGTACTTATCGAGATTAGCAAAAAAAAAAACATATTCATAGAAAGTAGCGTCTAACCTCGTAAGTAACGTAAGTAACCTCTATAATAAAACCTATCCTACATTAGACATCTATAATTATACACAACATTCTAGTGGGAAAAGAATTTTCGAAATCGGTCAAGTACTTTACGAGTTTAGCTAAAAAAAAAAACATATTGATTGATAGTGCCCTCTATAATAAAATGCATCCTACGTTTAACAGTCATAATAGAATTCTAATGGTGAACGAATTTTCAAATCGGTCAAATAGTTTTTAAGCACCATTGCAGAAAGTGATTCAGCTTAGTCATCGGCACATACAGTAAAGACAAAACGATCCTTTTTGTCTATAGTTGGATAAAGAACTGGTTGCGTATCGGCTGCTTTGGATAAATATCCGTTGTCAACGGTTGCTTTACACCTATAGCCTGGATGAGTCGATAAGTTTGTGTCACTGTACAAATATAGCCGCATCCAAAATTTTTGTGGAAAATTTACTGCATTTTAATGAGAATCCAGGATTGATAATAATAAAATACCTACTTATTGTGATGGATTGGAGTACCAAATCTACTTTTTTTATAGAATTTTAACAAGGTGAACCCGAGATATGGGGTTTTAGAAATCAGTTTAAAAAAATATTAATAAAAATAAATATTTCATCATCATCATTATCATTACAGCCTTTCACAAGTCCACTGCTGAACATAGGCCTCCCCTAAGGAATGCCACAATGCACGGTCTTAAGCTATCTGTATCCATCATCTTCCTGCATGTCTTATTAAGTACATAAAGTCGTGGCAACAAGACGCACGTCATCCATGTTTATAAGATCTGCTTTGAATGAATATCGACGAATATGTAAACGCCTCGGCGAGTTTCTCTTGCCGATTGTCTAAACGTGCCATCACCAAATCTCAGACCACAGAGTATATTTAAAATACGAAATTTGTCCCTTCGTCAGAAATAAAATAGGTACAAACCGCCATAAATTTATCGTAGATAAAAGTTATATTTTCTAAAATTAATTATTTATTTACTTTATAGCAATATCGGTTAAAGTAAGTATCTGTTTGTTATTAATCTTCATTTTATGCAAATAGACTTTTAAGTGGTTATATACTCTTTGATGAAATTATGTCATGTTGTAGCCCTAGCACTAGACATTTGACAGAATTAAATAATAAAATAACATAAAAAAACTACATGTTCAGTTGACAGAGTTGCTGATACGTTTTTTTACATTGAAACCATCTGTGATTGATTATAATTATAACATAAAATTGTCATGAAATCGTTTTGTGAGAGATGAGCGTATTCGGGGATTTTCAACGTGTTTGGGTGCAACGTTTTCCTGAAAGTGCTTTGCCAGCCGCTTGGGAAGAGGATGTCCGTGCTAATTTGGCTAAACATAAACAGAAAGTTGCTATATTGAGGGAAGAATTGGAGAAGGAAGAATTTTATGTAGAGTATTTGGAAACTTTATTGTCAGATGTGGAAAAACACAAAGCAGCTGCTGAAGGTAACAAGGCGGCGCCGCCCTCTGGTACAGACGCAAATGACGATAAGACTTCTGATAGCAAACAGGTACCAAAATAATTATCAAATCAGTCAATAATTATAAATCCTTCATAATCAAAAATTGATAGATAACAATGAGACCAGTTTGTTGTCTGTAACTTGTTTTAAATCGTGCATTTTTTCAAATTAACTTAACATTTGTTTTAATATTTCCCTATTATTACAAATTAAACCATGGTTACATATTTTGACATATTATTATATGAAGCATTGCAAAAGATATGTGTCTGATCTGTGATGTGATTCATCATTATTTGTGTCATAGTTACATGAACAAAATGTTTAGGAAAATATTGAAATTAAAAATTTATTAATGTGTTAATATTAAATAAATTGCATGTAAGTACAACATACATACCAGTGTCTTAAGCTAAGTTTTAGTATACCTAGTAATTTTATGAATATTTATTATTAACTGATTCTGAATAACATTTATTAATAAAATACTAGGTGTGTAGGAATTGTAATTATTTATATTCATCATTAAACTTTCTTTTTATTGTATTTGGTTTTAGTTCTATAGTTTGAAAAAATTTATAATGGCTAGAAACCAGATTTAGAGCTATAATTTACTTAATTATCACCATCATCTTCATCATCATTATCCTTAGTCTATCAAAAGTTCGCAGCTCAACCTAAAGCATGCTTGGTTTGGTAACAAATAGAAATAGTTTTAGCTCTAATAATAATAAGAGCTGTTTCAGGAAGATACTGCTATACAATATCACCTGTTTCATTTCTCTTTGTGGTCTCTTACATCACTCATGGGACGATATGGGGTAGAGAATTCTTTCATGCCATTATTACTTGGTGACTTGTTTTGAGAAATTGCAATTTTATTTGTTATCAACAACTTAGTGCTTGCTGTAAATTACACAGCAATACTCAAACAACTTGGGTTTGATCTCCGTCAGCTTCAAAGTATTTTTTAGTTGAAATATAAGGTGTTGATTTACTACATCCTTGGTGGTGAAGAAAAACTTTCTGAGGGAATCTACATGTCCAAAAAATAAAGAAACAATATTGACATGTAAAGTTTGCTCACATGCATTGGGGTAGGACAGCAAACATTCCGTTACCCTAAAATGAGAAAAGGCCTTTCTTAGCTTTGGGACATAAACAAGCTGTAGCTTTATTTACTTTATTTTTAAATATAGCAGACATCACAATTTATTCTGAATAGCTAATAAATTTGCCAATCAAAAGTTATTGAAAATGCTAGTGTATACCTAGTCTTTTTATTTTTTTGGGTGCTAACAACTCAAACCCCAAATGGTTGGATCCGACCACGTCGCTATTCCATTAAATCCCAAGTGATTGGATATGACCACACCCACCCACAGCATTTTAACCCATAAATACTTATGTTTAGAGAATACTTTTCTAATGAAGGAGTTTGGCATTATAGAATCAAAATAAAATTTTCTATCCTCTAGTGGATTAAAAAGTCAGTTAGTCTATGGATATTTATTTATAATCGACATTCAAAGTGCGTCTTTGTTGAGTGTTCATTATTGTATATTGTTGCGTTGATTTAAAGTTGAAAGTATTTTATAAAATTGTTATGAAAGTCTTTGTGTAATATAAGTTATCTTTTTACATGAATAATTTCGAGTAATATGTAGAAATAATAGTAATTTTCATGCTACTGACATCCACTTGGTATGTACTTATCAAAATTCAATAAAGTATTTTTGTAATGATTAATCCATTGAATAATTGACTTTTGTTTAACTGGGCCCGCTAGGGATTTGGTGGAATATGGCCGCAGTCTCATGAGACTGCTAGGGGATTGTGCAGTTAAATAGCTATGGTTTAACTTGTATGCCTATATTAAATAAAATTTTATATTTGAGGCTTGTTATTCCTAAACCAAGATCAGTTATTCACATGTTGTTTCTGCCATGTTGCTAAATTTATAACCATGAACTTATAAGTAAATTAATTTCGTTTTTGACTATGCATTTTGATATGGGAACAAGGAATCTCAAATGACATGTCATATCAATGTTGTATATGGACTTAGCACTACAAAGGTTGACATAACAAAATGAGGCCGATAGTGGAAGTAGATCTGTCTAAAACTACGGGTGAGCTAGAACTGGCTTTTGATGTAATTATCATAACAATATTAGTTCATTTTCTACAAATCAGTAAATAAAGAAGTTGATGAATAAGTATCTCACAAAGTGAGTATGCTCAGCATGAGGACTGCATCTAAGCCTGCATTTTAATGCTCAAACTGTATATATTGGAGGAAATTTTTAGTAGAATTGTTACCGGTAATGTGAAGTGGATGACAATTGCAAGCATTCACCACAATGGTTAGAGAAAAATTCTGAAAGAAGATCCAAGTAAGGAATGTCTTTAAGAGTTCATTAATTCTCATGCAGCAGGCTTCAATAGCAAGGGCATCAACATATTGCCCATAAAATGGTTAGAATGTGTTAATAGTTTTTTGATTGATTAAAGATTATTGTGAAATTTTTTAATTCAATTGTCACATGCAAAACAGCAGTTTCATAGGTAGGCTAATAATAATTTTAGAAAAGCTTGAGTAAAGGTTATTAAAACCATTCACAAAAACAACTCTGAATATAATTTTAAATTTGTATAGATGTCCGGAAATCACTTACCTAGCAAGTTTTGTCCTCTTATTTAAGATAATTCTGAACCCACCTACTTTTGCTTTACCTTGTGATCCTTTTGAGAGGATACTCCTCTCGCCACAGTTCACTAACACACATCCAAAGTGGGCTGGCGAAGTCCATCCAGAGTGGCCACCTCGGGCCAACCATTTGAGTTTCTCTTTTGGTCACAGTGAGTGATCAAGCCACTTCTAGTAGTCCTACTCGCTAAGACAAGGCGGGAACTCGTTCGGTGGGGGGGGGGAGGCATACCAACTCCTAAGCCAACCCACATCTGTTATACGGCATATAAACCTCCCACTGCTGGGTACAGGCCTCTTCTCATTTCTGAGAGGGTTTTAGAGAAGGGAAATCCACCATGCTGCCCCAGTGCATGTTGGCCAACTTCACATGTCTTCGAAATATTGTTTTTATTCTTTCTTAGACATGCAGGTTATCTTTTTCCTTCACCGCTGTTTTCCTTCACCGCTGAGCTTCTTAAGTTAACGATTGTCATGCACCTCACAGCATCCATGCTTGGCATTATTAAATATATCCAAATTTAAGAGAGAAAATGATTGAAAATCAGGGTCAGTAAGGTGCTTCCAAATTGATTTACAGTATGCAATTAAACATGGAAATGTTCCATAAAAACATTGCAATTTTTATTTAAAATTAATTTCATGTAAAACATGGAGCTATTATGTACTATGTACTAGAGGCGACACTGCATTCAGCTACTCTGTTCCACTCAACTGCGGTGCATACACCGCGCTTTAATCAGTCACTCGCTAGGCGCTTGTAGAGTTGTCACGTGTTGTGTGGATTTAAAAAAATCTCTTGATAAAAATATGAAGAAAGAAATGTCTGTAAAAACCAAGGAATTATTTTCATCGGTTAATAAGATACTTAATCAATAAAAAGTATTATAGATTAATAACAAAACAAATTATTCCTAAGAAGCCATCTCGTGTCATGGAATATAGATTATGAAATTAATATGTTCAGATGCGACATTTCTGTGGGTACTTAAGAATAGGACGAATATATTATTATACACATTTTTTTTGTAGAAACATATATAAGGCATTATAATTAGGCGACATTTTTCATGTTTAAATCTGCTTATTATTCTTTTATTTTATTTTTAGGTGTCCACATCAAAGTTAAAGTGGTATAAATTCGTCAATTTTTAACTCTCGCGTGCCCAGCATTTAAAAAACGACTCTTATCCTAATGTTACGAGCTTGAGGTTCGTGACAATAAAAATTGCCGATAAAATTACCTAAATTAACACTTTAATTTACTTTACACAAATTAAAACTTAAAACACTAATAATTAAACACACTAATTTACTTTATTCCGCTCCGAAGCTTCGCTTGTCTCGCCAAATCAACACTACACCTCGATCGCATCTTGCAGCGCCTATTTATTTAAATTAGCAAAGAAGCATCCGGAATATTCAAGTAAATGCGCGCAAAGGGACGAGTGTGCGAGTGTAGATTTTCTAGAAACTTAGTTCTTCGGATGGCGCTGTCGCTCTGGTTCCTGACACTAGATGGCGCTAGTTGACTTATTCACGCAACACTGCCCCCTCCTAAGACATGCTCGTCCCGAGCATTATCAGTCCCATAATAACGCGCCAAGCGATCCACATGGACGATCTTAGGAGTCCCTCTTGCGCCTTTCTGTATCCGGTAGGTCACATCGTTGATCCTGGTTACAATCCGGTACGGGCCGTCCCATTTAGCTTGAAGCTTAGGAGATTTCCCTTTGCTGCGGACTGGTTTGTGCAACCACACTAATGAACCTTCCTTGAACCCTTTATTGTTCATTTTGCGGTCGTACCGAGTTTTCATTTTCTCAGACATTTGCTGGCCCGATTGTCTGACGTGCTCATAAATGTCATTCATTTTGTTCCGCAAGTCATTTGCATAATCGGTTATACTGCGTGGGGCATCAGGTGGTATCCCGGTGATCAGGTCTGCAGGCAGCCGTAATTCTCTTCCAAAGTTTGCGAAAGCTGGTGTCACTGCTGTACTTTTGTGAACAGAACTTCGACATATGACAACAAAAACGGTTGTATGTGCTTGTCCCAATCTCGTTGCCGATTGTCTACAACTTTTGCTAGGTACCTCTCCAATGTCTGATTAAATCGTTCCACCATTCCATCAGATTGCGGGTGATAAAAATTCGTTCTTGTTTTATGAGTACCCATAACTCGGCAAGTTTCCTAGAATATTTGAGACTCAAAATTCCTTCCTTGATCGCTGTGAATCTCTAAAGGTACTCCAAAACGACAGAAGACTTCATGAACTAGTTTATCTGCAACTGTTGAGGCTTCTTGATTTGGAATGGCGAAGACTTCTGGCCACTTA